GTTGAAGCATACTTATTATATCGTTAACAGGTAGTTGTTTGTCTAGTAGTATGTTATCATATTATGAGTGGTTTGCCTGAATATTACAGTAGATACCACTATCGTATAACGACTAAAATGTGGATATTATGGCAAATGAAAAAAATTGAGCTTTCCACCCGGCGTCATATATATTATGTTTTAACATAGTCTCCGACAAACATCGGAGTGCAGCTGAATGAAACCCATAAAAAAATTGTTTACTACTTTAGAAAATGGAATCGGGCACGTGTTAGTTTTCCATAATGCGATAATATTCCCGTTACATAACGGCTGAGATTTCAATGTTCAAATACAACCTGCTACCTATTTCCTATAGGATTCATAAGCAATAACCGCTGCTGATCCATTGTATCGACCACAAATAAAATAACTCGTAGTACAACGTGTTGTTTAATATCGTAATGAAACGGACTGAAAAAATTGAAGAGACTAAAACATAGAATGACATGTACAAATAGTATTCCCTTTAAACTTAATCCGACCAACCGCCGACCCATCTCGACTAGTTCGAGTGCAATACTATATTATTATTAAGTTAGAGGTCTATAGTTGTCATAACGAACGTATGATTATCATATGAATATTGGTGTAATTATTTATAATGCCATGTGACTCACGTCCAAAAAGTATGATTTTTGTAACAGTCAGCAGTCATCATTTCAATAACTATTATAGTGTTTGAAAATTTAGGTTTTTCATTGTTTTAATGACAACGTATTATATTTCTAATTTACATACTCTGGAAATGAACATCAATATAAAAAAAAAAAACTGTACCACCAGACGCCTACATAATGCGGTCGGCCTAGGATGGCAAGCTAAGAAAACTCAGAGTGTATAGTTAACTATCTTACAATGAGCGGGTGACCAATATTATAATTAACAAAACCAATAATTTTTATATGCACCGTCGTGCTACAAATATACACTATAATACGCGTCGTATAAAATGCATTATAACATCAATAACAATAATAATAAATGAAAGACGGGCGCCCAAATACAAGAAATACTAAAATATAATAATAATTACGAACCGAATAGTATTGATAGTAATTAACGTGATCGATATCACCGATATCGCGGATAGTATAGAAATAAAAACAAAATAACAGTACCAGCGAGCTGCTAAACTCCACCGACGGCTGGGTCCCTCGCAGTGCGACCAATAGACCGGTGGCGCTTAATTATTGGCCTGATATCACTTCATGATAAGACGTGACAGGTGTCAGGTCGTCGTCACCAAAAGCACCCGTAGAAACAAGGGACGCAATGAAAGTGACGACCCGCAACAACAATACAATGACCACAACGCAGATGACGTAAAGGCCGCGAAGTCAACGGTTCACACGGTCAATGGCGAATAAACGCGCCCACGCACGACGGCGACGATGTCGACAAGATGCCGAACAATCAGAGGAAACGAGTGTTCGCAATATTATACACACGCCAACGGCGCAAAATGGCACAAAATGGCCCGCAATGGCAAACTCGCACGCGACAAAGGCGACGTCTCGAACGACGGTCGCGGAAGAACAGATCCGCATGTCGGTGGATGTCCACGGTTGTCGTACAGACAAGTGCGGACGACGGCTTATCGCGTACACGAAAGGTCGTCGGCCCTAGTCTCGAAGTATCGCGACAAACGATAATCATATTATATCTGGAACGAAAACACTAACATTATAATTTATAAGTTTAGCAGAGTGCAGGTGTAAGAGTATTAAACGTCTCTGTGGATATTCGAAAAAAGCCAAATCTAAAACGTGATAACAATCAGACATATTGAAAAGTATTTATTTTTTCCAAAAATGGAATTATTTCAATTTACCCAAAACAAAATAATATGAGAGAAATGACGGCTGTAGATAGTTCGGAGTTTGTGGGACTTCAAAATACCGATAGTTCGGATATCGCTGAGCGATTAAAAATAATAATATCGAGAAGACAAAAAAAAAAAAAACGATTCAAATCATTAAGTTTTGAAAAAAACGTCATACCCACGATTGTAATTTGATGTATATTATAGTCATCTGAAATGATGAGCAGCAAAACCTGTCTGCGGCCTTTGCGCAATATTACGCTTAACATAGGACCCGATTGTACGATAACATTTGATTCTGGAAAACAAAGACCTGCAGTAATCCGTTGAGCTCCGACGACATACGCTTCATCACAATATAATATCATAGTTATATTATAGTCGATTTACTCGATTTACAAATAATTACCATAATCCGTTTGGTGCACAGTGCCCGTGCACTTACAATATACCTAGGCACTGTAGTATTTTCTCAATAATCACATACATCTAGCGAAACCCTCGACATTGTCTCTCGGAACCCCTTGGTTCCGCGGAACACACTTTGGGAAACACTGCACTACGCTGTGCGGTAATAGTTAAATATCATGTAGACACAACGATGATTTGTAGACAGTCTGCGCGGCCCGGTCGAAACGGCGAAAAGAAACGTTTTTTCCCTTACAACCGACCCGCAGTTCAGTATAATTCCAAGCGCACGACCCGACTGCCGCAGTTTCGTTTTGGACACGGGACCCAATTAGTATATGACATGTCATGGGACCCGGCGACCTGCAGTGGGTGGGCATATGCGCCGAGCGATGCATGTAAATCATGACGTACGACGATGATAATGATACGGTTAATTTGCGAATAATTATTACCATCGGCGGACAGCGTATACGCCCACCTGCGTAACAATATCGTAATTATTTACACGGTAATACAGGTAAACAGATAATATATTTTATGACTGATTGAATTTCTAGTAGTCGAACCGCCGCCGCCGCCGCGGTGTGAATTATTGTCGACCGCAACGCGGCGCATAATAATGTAATTATTAGGTACATCTAAAACTATTGTCAAACTCAAACCGAGATTATGAATTACAACGCGGCGGCCTCTGTACGCAATGACTGTACCTATACAATGGGCACAACAGAATGACCTGACGGATAAAATAACGTTGTTGTTTCGATCGAAATTAAAATGTGTGTTTTGTGTGATATAATATTATTATGTTGTAGGTGTATAGTTATTATAGTCGCTCGTACTACAATATTATCGAGGTTTGACGCTGAGAATAATAATAAAAATAAAAAACCGTACATTTAAATAGCGATTTTTTTTTGTTTTCGTATAGTTCAAAATCATAAATTTGTAAATTTAATTTTAAAATAAACTTCGAGTTAATGAGCCGAGTAGTCTAAATCTTACAATCAATTAAAATGTCAATATTTTTTTAAAATCATTATTTACGGACATAACATATATGAAGTATCCACATAATTGTCATGACTGTTTTCATACTCTTAACTTTTACCTGTCAATTGTCATTTCTCGTTTGTCGGGTATTTGTGTTACGTTCAGTGTAATGTGAATATCATTATACGCATATTATGGGTGTCTGCAACCTACACACGCATTATCATGTGTGGAAACTTCGTTGCGAGGGTTTTTTTTTATTCGACCCACGCGGTTCTAAAAGTCAGCGGGATCGGTGTAATGGTGAGAGGGGGGGGGGAGGTGCGAAAAAAATAACAATTTCACACAGTTTTAAACTATTCACACGAGCGTATTGGCAAAAAGCCGTTTTTCACGCGCCAATAAACTACAACCGCAAACACGGATTACAATCACTACGACTCGCTGGCCGTTTGTCACGCGTCGTTTTGTTTTCCGGACGAATAACAATATTGTTGTTGCTGTTGTCGTTATTATTACTATTATTTTTATTGTCGTTTTCACCAAATTACACGTGCACGTGGTTGGGGGGGAGCGCATTTGGGGGATTCATAGAGGATATTTTGACTAATTGCCGCTTGTGAACATAATAATAATATCATCGTTCGACGCTGAGAGTACAAAGTGAATTCATCGCAAAATCCGAGCACGACCGTCTCCTCGTCTTCTCGCCGGCAGTGAAGAACGGGTGAAGGTTAACAGCCATCAATTAAATTCTAGCTAGGCCCACTTAGTCTTCTTTGACGACGACGACGACGACGATATAATGACTATATTAATTTATCGGATTTGAAATATAATATACCTATCGTGTGTAGTTGCACGCGGGACTGTCTGCAGACAGACAAATAATAAACAAACAATATCACGTATATAAATACGTCTAATATGCTTAGGAATAAAGCGGAGATATTGTTCATAATATTATTGTTGTACGTTGTATTAGTAGGCACCTGTTGGTTGTTGCCATTGTAATAATAATAATATGCAGTTATGCGAAGGGACACACACAGACTATTACCAATGAACTGAATGAACGAGTGCGCATGTGTGTGAGTGTGTGTGTAATATACTTTCAAACGAAAATACATATTTTTTCATACAGCCGATCAATGAATAATAAATTAGTTTCGTATCAAAGGTCTATATTTCAATACAATTTTAAGTCTTTATATTTATAATTATTAGTAAAGTAAGTACCGAAAAAACTGACATTTTTTAAATCTCCCAAGACTTAGAAAAAATGATGTACCTATAGTCATCGAGTCTCATAATTTATTCTTCGTATTTGAAGCCTACTTTTTAAGTGAAATTGTTTATTTTAATTTTAAAATGTATAGTTATCACACAAAATAGTAAAACACACGTTAATTACAATTTACAACACATAGCACACTTACACTTACGTTTTATGTTAGTTTTCTGGTTAGTGACCATAACCTTAACCTTATTAATATCGTATGTTATGTAACCTTAGTATACCAAATAATATTATGCTCATGTCATGGCAATACTCGAGTACCGACTGATTAGGTATACGAGTATTATGTAGGTATTTATTAACCTAACTCAATTTACTATAACGTACTCATAAGTTATAAATGAACTAAATAGGAATAAATAGATGTCTTATTTATTTCAAAAATTATTGTTCGATGCAACTGATTAAATGTTTATTCGAATTTTTTTTCAGTATTGTCTACGGTTAGCTGGGAAGATTGGTGGACTTACGATGGCATATCAGGTAAAGCATTTTATTCATATTTAAGTAATTTTTACATTATTTATTTTTAAGTTGATTATGTAATGTATATGTTATTTTTAATGTGAAAACCATTTGGATTCCAATATAATATAGAAAATAATATTGTGGCAATTAGTAAAACTAAACCTTAACCAAATAGCCTTATCTAATACATTATCCACCTAAAGTAAGACTTTAAATTTAATTGGTACTGAAGTCTGAAAATAATACTTAAAACGAATGTTTCAATATTTATCTTTGATTGAACATCTTTGCGTTGTAACGTTTTCGGTCTCCGTCAAAATCTATTATGTACTGTTATAGAAACATAATATTCAGACTGGTCAAGGACTGACACAGATGTATTTTTCTTGTAAATGTAATCGTATCAATATTTTAAAGAGTAATTTTTCAGCTATTTAATTTAGTGCACTAAGGACAATAAAATCATAATAATGGGTTTAGCCGACATGAGGGAAATTTTTATTTTTATTTTTATCAACGAATTATTCAATCTATACATTTAAAAATGGTCCGGAGTAATTATACCATGATCCAATATTACATTTATTTTACATTTTTCTAAAAACTATTGTTTGTAATACAAGCATTGATTAAATGACTGAGTAGGTACTACTGGTTTGAATTTTAATGTACCTACGTCAAATTTTTCGGAACAAAATTATCTGCTAAATAATTTGCAGTAAAAAAGAGCATGAGCCTCATATTTGATAAAACAAAACTAGGTAACACCACAAGACTCACTCCTCAAGTAGCACGAACAATTTCAAAATTTTCAAAATACGCACGTTAATTGAATGTAAGGACACCAAAATCAGAGTGTGAATGAATTTATTATTGAAGGAAAATATTTTTGTTGAACTAGCTTTCTTAATCACCCAGTAAATAATTGAAACGAGAAAGTCTAGTATCGTCTAGTACAAAAAATAAAATAGTGAGATTGATGGAAAAGTGGAAAACATCAAGTATTGAACTCGATAATATTATTATCCGAACAAGAATGGAAAATGGTCAATCACGGACATGCCAATAGTCTAAATACTAGAAGTGTAAACTCCTCAATAGTAGTAGTGGTTTAAGCAAATACTAGTAGTTTTAGTAGTTCTAGAAAACATAAGAATTTTAAAAACAATATGGTCTTTGACTGTATTTGGACATTTCAAAAAAAATAGGAAAAACGGATAAGTGTATTTTAAACAGTGGAAAATGAACATGCTTGACGAACATTTACAGAGTGTATAATGCACTATTTCAGTTATTGTCTAACTCAACAATGTGCATAGTATAAGCGGTTTTCACAATCAGCGTAATGGTCGTAATCTTCACGTGTCAACAGTATTATATGTCCCGTCTTTGAAATTCGTCCAATTTTCATTTTCCGCCGAGACATTCGTCGTGATGGTCGACTACGGCGGAAAAGAGATTATCAACTCGGTGGACCTACCGCACGCTATAGCTGCTGCCGTCTCAGGTGGCGCAAAAGTCAACAGACAACACGTAAACAGACGGCGAGAGGAAACTGTAAAACGGAAAACAATAAAAACAAACGCGACGTTTATGAAATAATAATAGGAAAACATTACGACATTAATCCGCAGTTTGGGCTTCGCGCCGCGCACGGGGTTCAACGGAAATGCAGTCCTTAATCGTTTTTTCCCCTATTTTATGTTACTAACCGGAAGTGTCAGCCCATAATACAACGTTGCTGCTCAACAGCTCTCGCGGGCCCTGCGAAAAGTCCGTTGTCTTTGGGTTTATGCCGACCTCGTCGACAAGATCCTTTTCGACCGAGATCCTACACTATTTATATAGGTTCGGCGACCAAATCAAACAGTTTAATGTACCTACTCCATGTTGGCATTTATTATTTGATCGGTGGTGTTCGTCGTTTTTGGCTGTGATGAAAACTGCCATAATATTATAATATGTATCGAGACAGAAATAAAATACCTGATAAATAAATTCTATTCCTATACATAATATTAAGTACAAAATTATAAAATGTGCACGCTTAGTATCTAACTTGTTTGGTAGGAACTAACATGCATTGATCAAAAACTAATTGACAAAAAATGATGTATTACTGTTTCAATATTAAATTATAATTTGCATACAACTCAATGCTTTTCTATATGAACCTAGTGTGTACCTATAACACAAAGTAAATATTAAACTTCTCGGCTTGGCTGAGAAAAGAATCTTACGGTTTTTATCTAAGGAGGTCATGTCCGAGAATGTGTTCTGTGGACAACTTGAAAACGTAAACTGTACGATAGTGTACATTAACATATATTGTGTATCTATATAGATAGAAACCGATAATTAATATTAACCGGTGCACCGGCGAATGCACAAAACTTGAGACGGTGCACCGAATGTCCGTTTTCATCGACAGACTTAGTAAGTACTAACCTTGCATATGTACTGTCGAAGAAGTGACTTATTTCATGGTTTCATTCGATATTGTCTATTTTTCCACAAGGGTTGTCACGGGGGTTTAAGATATCGTTTTTTCAAATTTTTTATCGGTATCTATATCTATATAATATAAAATATATAATTCTACTGTACATGCCACTGAACTCCTCCTAATTGGCTGGACTGATTTGAAAGAATTTTTTTGTATGCGTTTGGGTGACGACCAGGATGGTTTAGATTCACAATTGGACCCGATAGGTCCAACCCGGGTAGTTGCTCAACCAGCGATTGTAAGATTTACGAAGGAAATATTTGTTTATAATACGGTTGCTGTTGGTTATATGAAAAAATGTAAATCTATTTAGTAGAAATTGGTATTTTTTTTTTTTTGTTTATTGGTTGCCTGCAGTGGTTCATCGGGCAGATCATGACAGGTATAAGCATGCATACAGTTGAATTTTTGCACATTGCCTACCAATGTGGCGGAGTTGCACTTAGCCGCTCATCGGCGCGTCAGCGATCAGAATAAAAATGAAACATATTATGTGTGAAGAGTACTCATCAACAGTTGTCCGCAATCCACAGCAGATAAGCATACTGCTCGCATTATCACCATCGAGTCTCATATGGAGTTGGCGTTTTTCACGGACAACGAAGTGCACGGGATCATACCTAGTATTTTATATAGAATATTATGCTGAGTGTTACCCATCGTTTTGACGAAATCCAGAATAGGTATTTTATGAGTCTGAAAATCATTTATACCTGATTTTTCAGAAGTTTATCTTTAATAAGTATCTATACAGCTACGCACAGGGAACACACTCGGGCTACGAAAAAGACAAAAATTAAAAACCTGACTCACTCGGAATGGTCCGCCAGACACACGCCGTCATGAACGATTTTATCATAAGTGCACCGATGACGATAAATAACAACTATCATAATATGATAATATCGATGCGTTTCGGAAACGTACTGATATAATATTTTCCCTCAAAAATATTGCAGAAGAAAAATAATTAATTTCGATTTTTAATAACTCACTGTCAACGCGTGATTTTTTTGTTGATTTCACATATAACCCTAAATCATTCAAACATTAGAGTTGTCTCGCACAACTCGGTCTGCCCCTATGCGCACATAATATATAGTGCATTATATGCGATAAATATGAACACTTTATTATCTGACAAAACGAGTGTAATTGACACTGTACATCAGCAGAACCCGTACTGATGGTTGATACGATTGTATTCGATTGAAACAAATACAGTATTTTTATTTTCAAAAGTAAAAACCAATTGACAAACTCTAATGTGTGTTTTTACAATAATTCTGTTTTAAACGGCCATTTTCATTTTCCCTCGCGAGTGGTTGGGGGCGTTTAGGCCAACACTATCCAATGGATAACAACTAGAAAAGGTATGTTCTCAAGATAATCGTTGTAAGTCTGCATGCATATTAAACGTATGATTACTTGCAGACTACGAAACGTTCTATTCTACCGGTATAACGTTACATCTCGAGAAACGAGGAAACTATGGGTACGAATGAAGAGTACCAACGTTGATACGGCCCAGCAATTTACCAGTTAAAAATATATGTATAAGAAAAAAAATTAATTTCGAATTTTATCATCTCATTCTTTTTCGCTTATCCAAATGTTACAGTTGTCTTTCACACTTCGCCCCCTCCCCCTTTATAAGCTATATGCAAGGTGGTTCTTTGAGCATGCTCAGTCTCATTTTTCTATGGTATATTATGTACCTATTCGAATCCCGACTTTTTTGACTATTCTGAGTTCTACTTTTCAGGAGGGTCTTGTGACGATACAAACCTTTTTTTTTTTGTCTGCAAATTATTTAGAGGATGATTTTCTCGAAAAATATTATGTATCTAAATAAAAATTGTAATTGGTAGTTTCTGAGTAATCAAAATGTTTATACTAAGAATAATATGCCTTCAAAATGGATTTAGAAAAAAATAATCTATATACGTTGTATGATATGTGATAATTATTTTTGTCTTTAGACAGCTTTTACAAATACTTTCTACTGATTGATCAATAGTTATGAGTGTTATGACTAACATTTTCTAACCACCTAAGCCAAATATCTACTTAATCTATTACACCATAGACATATTATTCTTAGTACACAAAGTCACAAAGTTATAAAGTAACTCAAAATTTACGGGTTAGAATTATTTTTATTTAGATACATCAAATTTCTCTAAAAGAAACGACTGTTGAATAGCTAATTATGAAAAAGGGAGAGGAAGGCACATATTTGGAAAAACAGAAGTTTACATTGTCACGTGATCATCTTTAAGTGTTACAAAAAATCTGAAGTATTTGAAAACGTGATCATCATAATATTGTCTTTAAATATCCCATAAATAAGAATTTGAATATATGTTTTTTTAAAGCATAAAAATATGTTGAGCGTGCTTAAGAAATCACCCTAAAATATATTGTATTGCCTACACGAAAATATGCGATACTTGTACACATCATAATATTAGGTATTCGACAAAACGCTTGTGATCGACACATCACA